AAAAGGAAGGCAGCTGCAAGATATGCAAATGTTTAACTATAAGGACTTTAAATTTGAGTCTATACTTGGAATTGGAAGGAGCGGAAAGACGTTAATGTGCATGTTTTATGGACAGAGGATTGCTCTGAAGACTATCGATTTGTCAAAAACACCAGAATTTCTTCCTGAAATGCACAACGAAGTTTCTGTTTATCAATTCCTTAGACCTATTCAAGGCAAATGCATACCACATTTAGTATTAGTAATGCTTGTGTTATTGTTTGAAATGCATCGATTTTTGTTTGATGCGTACTTGTGTCCCCCACTATACTGTAATCTTGGGTTCCATAGTGGATTTGATGTAAATTAGTTTCATATTAATATTTTATGTAGAGATATATTAATCCTGTTATGGTTTATATTCATCCCATTCCGGTATGATAAAGTTTAACAAGTCCATGAATGAGCTCCATTTTACATTTATTATTATTACTTTCCAAAATGTCATCATTCACCTTGGTCAATTTTACAGTCATATCATAATCAGCCCTTATTTATAGGAATGTTTACTTTGTCTGGTTTTGTTGCAATCTGCCCAAAATATTTTATTTAATATGAATAAGATAATTATTATTTGCTTGGTAAACTATAACTTGACCTTTTTAGCACTATTTTTCAACTACACTTACGATAAATTTTTGCGAGTGTTTTGGCAATTTGTCGATGTCAAGGAATATTATAAACGAATACAACATTATGTTTCTTTTGTTCATCAATTACACAGGAATAGAATCCTATTCTTCGACCATAAATAATACTAACTTTCCGTAACATCTTTTACGTTGTTTTGAACAAACGTTATATTATCTACGATTTTAAAGTTAAACTATTTATATCGACAGGTCTCGCGCTGTGTATTCAAACTTGATTTGTGACAACAAAAGCTAGAGCTGAGCCCTTTTTCGTTACACGGTATAGCGATGCGAGTAATGCGCCAACATAGTATGCCTATAATTTAACATTGTTTATGTTCTAATTGGTTGCTGACAGCAACAAAATTCTTTTAATAGAATAAATTATTGTACAGTCTCCGACGAAAATAATGACGATGACAATTTTTTATGGTTTTATAAAAACTCAACACAAAAAAACGGTTACCTGTTATTATAGTAATATTTATAGTAATAAATATATGTATTATTAATTATCTTGTTTGCACTGTTAACTGGGAGCATTTTTGAAAGAAGCAAAATAACCATAAAGCAGCGGGTTTATTCTTTTCATATGCTTCTTAATGCGTTAAGCGTGTCAAAATACTCTTATCCTGTTTGAGCTGGATAAACCATAAACTATAACGATAACTTATAAAGCTATAAATGTTTCCTTTTTTTAAAATTTTACCTAATCCGTTTAATGTAAAATATATTTTGCATTTTTGCTCATTAAAGTTAATATAAATATTAGTCGACTATAGTTAACAATTGTCCCGTTAATGTAACACGAAAAATTTGATCACACTATGTCGTTAATATTAAATATTACATGTAGGACTGTTAATCCAGTAATTGACAATTTTGGTTCAATCCTCCTTGGATCATTAAAACTTGAATGGATTTCTTACAAGGAAATCAGCGACTTAAGCAAGGGAAGGCTAAAGCAGAGCAGAACGTAATCACGCATTACACTGCCATACAAATTTGACCAATGGGAATCGCGAGCTCCGCTTTAGACATGCCATAATAATAATAATAATAATAATAATAATAATAATACTAATAATAATAATAATAATAATAATAATAATAATAACAGTAACAGCTTTATTTTTTGCTGTTAGTAAGCAAAATTATCCAAATATAATGAAATAAATTGGTGTTACGATGAATCTCAAGTCGAATTGTACAGTGTATGATGGAGTTGCCGCTTTGGAAATGCTTCACAGATTACACGTAAACATGTATATGTAATGGTAATGAAAATTCATAGAAAGAATTTTCTTTCTGGCGGCGTGAATTCGTTTTGATTTTGCATAGTGTAATGTTACTCACATTCCGCAATGGCAAACGTTTTCTTTATCTAACAATACGAAGAATTTATTTTCATGCACAAAATTATCCACAGACTTCTGTCTAACCGTTTTTGTTAATATAATAGCTGAAACTGAAATGATAAGAAGTAGGCCCAGCAGAGCCCACCCAAATCATCAACATGTCGTTGAATGGTTCCCAACTTTCGAATTCCTACACCGTCACCACACGTATCCGAAAGTTTTCGGATATACAGATCCAAAGCGACCCATTCGGACGTGTATCACTGAATTCTGCTATTCGCGCAACATGCGGTTCTGATGAACGCTTGGGAAGTTTGAGCTTTATCTCCTCTGCGAATAACAAATATTTTGCTAGTTTTCTTGTGATGCAAGAATCGACTAATGTTAAAATAACGGTATACCGATTCGAGCATAATCAGATACACTTGCACTGGCAATATGACTGCCCATTGAGTGAAACCGGGACGTATAAGGCTAACGTCACTCCCGACAGTTGGAATTCATTGAAACTAGAAGGACATCTCATGAACAGCGGTGAAGAGTTGTTTCTACTTGTATCACAAGACTATAGTAATTGTGCTCGTTTGTTTATAAAGAACAAGGGCGCAGTAATGACCTGGATTCGTTCGAAGAGGAAAGAATGGGCATCTAGATGGGAGGACTATCAGTTCAGTGATGACGAATGTTATATGTATATCGTCTGTAGCGGAAAGAGGAGCGTCACTGGATCCAATTACATTGTCGGAGCATATTCAACAGCCACTTGGGAATTGGTCAAAGAGTGGTATATTGTATGCCATACTGGAAACCAAATACCGCACGTCAAATTAATGGGTCCACTTTATTTTGACAACCTGTATCTCGCAGTGTCGGGCAATAATTTGGATAGTTGTGTAGTTCGAGGTCTGCATAATGACGTTTTGCTAACCTTACCAATTGGTGACGTTTTCAGCTACGGTTCGACGCAGTCAGTTTGGGTATCGAGAGATGGCAAACAACTAGTAAACGTTCCAAAAGATCAAGCCCGCTTGTATTACTGGGATCTGATCAATCCAACTTACCGGCCATTGCAAGAATGTCTTTTGCTTGGAGTTGAATATAGGCCACGGGTAGTCATCCCCAGGCAAGAACATCTGTGCAGATATTCTCCTAACGGTGAAATTATCACCATTGTCACAGCGAACAATCGTGTTGTCAATGTCCAAATTATGCTCTCTTGGAATTTGCAAGTTATTGATCAAATGGACATTCCCTATGCCGTCTTTGATGGATATCAGGTTTGGAGTGTTGGGATGTCTAATGCTGGTGATCTTTTGGTCCTTGGCACAATACTCCCTCGGTCTACTGGTTCAATTCAGGTTGTTATTTCGCAAATCTCTGGAATATACGATCGTGTCCATCGAATTGAGCAGTATTTTGATGTGGCCTCAAAAGGGGTCCTCACGGATAACCGTGTACTTTTTTCGAGATGGGAGTTAATAGGTAGTTACAGTGATTGGTCAATGACCCTCAAACAAGAATCTTCTGAATCGCGACCGCCAAGTTCCACTGATATTGTTGAAATTCGCAATGGTTTATATGAACTCGTCTTTTTATCGTGTAATTGGTATAATCCCGGTACATCATTGGAATTGGATGCTGCTGACAAAATAACGCATCTTTTAACGTTCACAGTCCCTTGGGATACCACAAACAATGTGTATGTATTTGCTATTAAGATTGGTACGACACTTGCAGTGACTGCAATACAGTATAAAGGCAATCGTGTATTAGCTGACAAAAGTCGGATACTTTACTACAATCATAATATTGCCAGTCAAAATCACAATCTTGAAATTGTAAACTGCGGAAGCTACTATATGCTCACAGTAGAGGCACATGGGCATCTTTCAAGCTATTCTGGTATTGTTCATGCCTCCAAGGTATCAATAGTAATCACAAACTTCAACATTAAATGTGATGCCAAGTATGACTTATTTGCAATTCATGATTCACGCAACATGAATATCAAGGGTTTGATTATTTCACCAAACATGATTGTGACAAAGACTTCGACATTTCTTGGCTACATCCCAAATCTAATGCTAAACCTGGATGCTGAGAATGGCAGTTTGTGCTTTGGTAATAGAAGAAGGGGGATTTACAGTGCATCAAAGCTTGATATGTGGCTAACTTACACTCAACGTGATCGACATAATGACATAATTCTTGGACCAGGACAATTTACTGATATTATATCAAGTCACTACACTGCTGTGTTTGATGATATGGATTATGATGACAATAACTGGCCCTTTCCATGTGTATTTGCTGGTGCAATAGCTCTTGATGCAATCTCTGTCAACACCACTCTGACTGATGAATTTCTCAAGTGTTACCATAAGTCAAACGAGCTAATTTTAAAAAATACAGTGACTATTACTTATTGCATTCCAGCTGCTTGCCACATCCGGCCACTTGGTGTCCAGTCCTTTCTGAGACACATTACTTTATGGACCATGAATGTTGAAGAAAGACTGGTCAGTCTACACAGAAATAAATACTGGAAAAGAATCACAAATAATAGTAACTACTGGGAAAAAATTATGAATAACTACCAGTACTGGGAAAGAACTCCAAGTAACTACTGGAAAATAATTGGATTTTATATGTTATTATTCTGTTTATCTCCAATATTTATTTGGAGATTTTTTCAGAAAACAAGTCACAAAACTCTTCCAAATACTACAAAATGCACCTTGCCTTTGGCTGGATTTTGCTCATATAACAAGCATAAAGTGTTTAAACCGCCCATAACACATGGAAGATTAAGATCAGATAATCAGAAAGGAGTCTTTAATGATCTTGTTAACTGTACATTAGGGAGTGCTTCATTTGGCTACTCAGGAATTACAATTAAGCCACATCATTCACATGCAGAGAGTCCATTCTCTTGTTTGATTGATGAAATACTTGCTCTCAGTGACGAGAATGTACAGTATGACTTTTTTGAAATACTTTGGCTTAAAAAGTTGCTGACATGGAAACTTGATACTTTTATAAGGAAAAAACATTTTGAGCGTTTACTGATACCAACAATTGTGAATTTTGTCCTGCATTTACTAAATGGACTTTTTCTTACACAAGGCAATCAGTCAAATATTCAAATCAGAACTAAAATAATTGCAACTTTACAATGTATTGTTGTCATCTATCTGGGAGTACAAGAATTGCGGCAAATGAGAACTCAAGTACGATACTGGAAATCACTTTTCAACTACTTTGATTTTTCCACTATTGGCTTGGCCCTTGGAATGATAATTTGTGTGTTTATTGACAAACAACCTCCAGTTTCCTTTATTGCATTTTCAACTGCCATTATTTGGGTAAACATGATATTGCAATTCCGTTTCTACAAACCAATTGGCATTTTATTGGCAGTTTTAACTGACATGATCAAAGGAGTTTCTTGGTTTCTTGGACTATTGGCGACTTTGCTTCTTGGTTTTGGATTTATACCTTTCTTTTTGCTCCGGCTCAAAACAAGTGTTAATGGTGACTTTGGATCGACTTTATTTAAAATGATTGAATTTCTAGGAAATGACTTTACATCTCTTCAACCATGGGGAAATGATATATCTATTAGTATTGTTCGTAGTTTGTTTACAATTATAATATCTGTGCTGCTACTCAATGTGCTTATCGCATTATTGAATTTGCAAGTTGAGTCTTCATCAAAAAAGGTAAAACAAACTTTAAAGTATAAGTATAAGATGTTGTGATATGTGCTGTAATAGTAATGAGTTTACTAATTTTACACACTATTCATATCTTCCAGGGAGAAGCCAAGTGGTTCAAGCAAGTTGCTGAAATGGTGGTTGATATTGAAAAATACTATTTAACATCTGCTGAACGTAGTCGGCCTGAATGGTTTCCTACATGGTTCAAGTACACTGTCACTGAAGATGAGAAATCAGAATGGAAAAAACATTTGGAAGTAAAAGGAAAAGAGTGGCCACTATCCAGCACATCAGTTAAAACCGGGGCAGAGGATAAAATGAAAGTTTTAGAGAAATCTATTAATGAGATCAAATCAATGATTAATGAAATGTATGCTGAAATTCATAAAGTAAAAGGTATGACTTAGTATTATAGTCCAAACTTTTTTATTTGAACACTTTTTACATTTTTATTTACTAATTTGTTGTCACTTTTAACAACATCATACAGCTGCAATCGATAAAGAACCACAAACATCCAACACAGAATCTGACCAGGTCCAGGAAGAAGAAGTGGAATCAGAGTCAGAAATTTGAACGTCTTGTAATATTTTAAATTTCTATTGCTATTACTATTCAAAAGAATGCAGTTGTGTTCAATGATGTTTTTGAAAGTTACAAAACACATGAATATTATGAAGATAGTGTTTCGCAGAAGCAATAAATTTGTCAATTTCTGATGAAAAAAAAATTTTTTTTCAAAACAAGATAATATTTAGTTATATTAGTATTATTTTACAAGTGATGTTGTTGTAATTATTAGTATCATATTATTAAAAAGGTTGTATGTACAGTCAAACCGAAGGGATTCTGGCTCCCCCCGTTTTCTAAATAGTGAAATCCCCTCGTTATAACGAATTTTAATAGTAAAATCTCGTTATACCGTTACCGAAGTTCGATGCAGGATTTTTACATATGCTACTAATCGCTTTATAC